AAACAGGCATGTGCACTGCAGCCACCTGGTCTTTGGGTTTCCGTCCTCCGGCATGAGCACCTGCACGTGTGTTTGGGCCCTCGGTGCCAAAAAGGTTCCCTGTCACTGTCCTAGCCTATAAAAGTAGAGAGCACTTCATACCTCCAGCAGATTTTTACAAACTCTAAAAGCATTCACAATGGGCAGTAACTGCCTACAAGAAACAACAGGAACACTAAGGATTGGCGGATGGTTCTGTTAGAACATTAATCTCTGTGGCAAAGCACAGACCCTTCTTTGCTTAATTTACTGACCTTGAGATTGCTAGAAAAGATGAAGCTCTAAAAGGGGAGGAAGAAGCAAAGAGAAAGAATGAATTATGAGAAGCATCTTTGCTAAAAAGAAAAGCTAAAGCTCTGAGAAGTTCATGGCCAAAGAAACAGATTTATCACAGAAAAGTTTTATGTTCCTCTGACTAATTAATTGTAATGGAAGTAAATTTAAGGCAAAGAAAGGAGGATAATTTTGTTTCAAAAATCTGAGAGAAGGCTTGGGCAAGAGACAGATACAGGGCTTCGTTTAAATTGTCATCAATTTAAGCCAAAGATCAAAGGCTTCTTTCCTGATGCTGGAGAATTGAGAATAAAACATTAACTTGAGCTGAAAGTTGACTGAAGGAATATAAGAACTGTTTCAAGTACCATATTTTTTGGGGGGGAAGGTGCACCAAATATAAGACGCACCAAGATTTTGAAGAGGCAAATTTTTCGCTCATTTCTGCCCTCCCCGGCCCCCAGGAGCACTCCGGAAGCCTCTTAAAGGCTATGCATGGCCATTTTGGTAAAGGACCGGGGTTTCAGGCGGAAAAAATGCAGTGTATAAGACGCACCCAGGTTTTAACCCTCTTCTTTGAGGGAAAAAGGTGCATCTTATACTCTGAAAAATACGGTAGTTTGGAATTTTTCACAAGTTTATGGAAAAAATGGAGAATACAAGGTAGAAAACAGAGAGAAGATAATTAATCAACTATTTATTTTATGTTGCGGGGCCTTGTAGGAACAAAACACAAAGCAACAATGGGCATTTCAGAAAATCCGAACCACAGAAAATAAAATATTGTTAGAAAAACCATTCCACAATTAAAAAAAATACTGATAAGTAAATATTAGCCAAGCGTTTGATATATAAAATTTGAATTGTAATAATGGTAAAACAGATATGAAAGAAGAACTTTCCAGTGAAGATCTTTCAGAAAAGGGAGAAAAAAGCCTGAATCACTCCTACACAACAAAGATTAGAAAAAACTAATGGTTAAAGCACCAGGCTAGAAAGCAGAAAACTGTTGGTGTTTTAGTCCCAATTTAGCCATGAAAGCCAGCTGGGTGATCATGGGCCAGTCATTCTCTCAGCCCAACTCACCCCACAGGGTTGATGTTGAGAAAATAATAGGAAGAAAGAGTATTAGATTCACTTCCTTGAGTTACTTCTAGAAATAATAAGTGTGATAAATAAATATTTCAGGAGAATATCTATCTCTCCCATACACAAATGTCCTTGCCTGTAATATACAGAGGTATAAACATATTCCTTAAAAGGGGGTGTATGTAGTTTCCCTATATGCAATTTCACATTTTGTAGAATTTAATTCCTTCAGGAAAAAAATATGATGCCATAAAAGTCAGGATCCTGAATTCAATAGCTAGGGTAGACTATAAGCACACACCCTTGTAATTTATAGAAACAGTAGAGGTTGCCAGGTCTAATAGTTTATAAAGGCAGAGAAAATACATTTTACCAGAGTACCAGATTAATGTTATGGACAGAACTGGATGAACTGAAGATGTACCGTGAAATCTCACAAACTTAAAGGTATATTTACAAAAAATTGTTTGTATATTCAACATGTGGTCATATCAGCAACCCTTTTTGTATGCTTTAAATAATAATAACAGCAACAACAGTTCCTAGGTCCTTGGTTAGGACTCGAGCTGCTGAGCTACCAACCAGCCCTAAAGATTAACCACACAACAACAACAACAACAACAACAATAATTTGATTCAGTTCCCCATATCTGGATCAAGAAATGCCTGAAAATCTTTGGCATCAGCAGCAACATACAAAAATTCAGGGAAACCTCAATGAACCTCTGGAAAACGAAGTTTATAGCTAATGAAGAAGAACTGGGTGAAGTTGAAATTAAATGAGGCATTTTCCAGGGCAATTCCCTTTCACCTCTACTTTTTATACTCTCAAAGTTACCACTGACAATCATTTTGATGAAGATGAACTGTGGATATGAACTTGCAAAGAAAGGACTGAAAATTTCACACTTGGTGTTCATGGTTGATTTGAAGCTGTTTGGTAAAACAAAAGCTGAACTGAATGTATTAATTGAAAGCACGAAAGAATTTAGCCAAGACATTGGTATGCAGTTTGGAATTGACAAATGTGTAA